CTTTTGAAAATATTAAGCCATTCCAGAGATATTTAAATTATGGCCAGGAACAACAATACTGTACAACCTAATATATAATTAACTATAATGCTATTTAAATGACAATACGATGATGGTCAGCAATGGGTTCAAAAGTAAATTCAACAAACTAACCTACTTAAATCGCCACGCATAGTCGACTTAAAATGTCAATTATGTTACTGGCTAACTATTCATGCCGATCATAACCAGCTATTATTATGCTTTCCGTTATAAATAACTATAAAGTTTGTGATAAAATACCCGAAAATTTAAAACAAGAAATTAAATCTTTTAATGTTTTCGATGACTCCGATGGATATAATGTACTGTTTGTGACATTTGTTGATATGGTGTATGGATTGGGATCTAATAGTGCGGGTCAGCTCGGGTTAGGACACAACACACCCATTCATACACCACAACGAGTGCCACAATTATGCCATCAAAATATTCATCAGTTTCTCAGTGGAGAAGCGTTTGCATTGGCTGTCAATACGGATAATAATGTGATATTCAGTTTTGGTTGTAATGGATGGGGACAATTGGGACGACATGTGAATATGGATGTCAATGTATTCCATAAACCGGATACTATATTATATTTCCAATCAAACAATTTAATTATTTCACAAATAAGTTGTGGTTTGTATCACACAATTGTGTTGACATCAAATGGACAGGTATTCGGGTGGGGCAGCAATATGGAGGGACAGGTTGGTTGTGGTGAAATAAGTTGTCAATTAGATCCAACTCCTATTGAATTTGCCATTAAATACCAAATTAGTAAAATTGCATGCAATAGGTATACATAACTTGCCGTTACCTGTGAGGGACAGGTACTTATATGGGGAATGGTAGTTAATACAATTAAAACACCATATATATTGGAAAATGCAATTAACATAAAAAGTGTAATCCCAGTAAGAGGGTTATATGTATATTTGTTATCCAACCATGGTCAGTTATATCAATATAACTTTCATAATAAGTTTATGAGATTATTATCACATCTTGTGTTCAATGAAATCAAACCCAAAAATTCGTACCAAAAATATGATTCTGTAATTGTGGGCAAATCTGGTGATAAAATATATAATTTTATCGGTAAAAATATTTTTGAAACAAATTATACATCATTTAATGATTATATTTCAAATGAATGCCAAATCACTTTAAATACCATTTCATCACATATTCAACAAAATACACAAATTTGTGGTAAATATTACAATAATGCCTTAATTGTCCCATATCTGTTGTATGTTGAATTGATTATTATTATTGTTTTATTATAGAAACCAACGATAACTTGAATAATTCAATATTTGAAAAGTCATTTGATGTAATAACTAAGCTTGGTGAGGGTGGCTATGGACAGGTATATAAAGTGAAAAATAAATGTGACCATAAATTCTATGCAATAAAGAAATGCCAGTTAAATGGTAAATATATTATATTTTATAAAATTCGTTTATGCACAAGTTATGATCATTTTTATTATAATTATATTTTTCTAAAGGTTTAATAGAAAAGGTGAAACAAAACGTTTTAAATGAAACCCAAAGCCTAATTAAAGTTCGTTCAGAGTTTGTGATTCAATACTACTATTCATGGATTGAATGCAATTGACTTTACTTTCAAATGGAGTTATGTATCGATAATCTCAACAATGTTTTGGAAATTAAGAAATCATTGTTTAATGAATTGATGACTATTTCTGAGTTTTATATATCATATCATATATTTAGTGATCTCACAAAA